ATATCACTTTTACAAGCTGTAATATCTGCTCAGTATGCTAGTTCAGGTGAAGCTGTTAGATATAATAGCCGCTAGCATAGGCGGATGCCTGAAGTATCATTTACGGACATAAGACAGATAAAAATCCAAACTTCACCGATGTGAAACTGTTCAGTTCTTGCTGGGTCATCCAAAGCAAGCTTTGCGACGTCAACTAGCCAAGAATTAACTGTTGATCAATTTGGGGCCCTGATTTGAGTAGTAATGTTTCTTTGTTATATATCAAAGTGAACCAAAAATTGGACGTCCCAGCGCTGAAACGAAAATAATTTTACAACTAGTTCCATAAGACTATAAAATATGCAACTGAAATTTTGTCCTGTCGGTGAGGCCGATCTATGAGGAAAAGCATAGGAGCGTTCTGGAGCTGTTTCATGATTACCTGAAATAATGAGCAGTCCGCATCAGGGAGCATCAAACCCGAAAGCCTACCGGTCAGTGGTTGGATACTCAGTCATCAGGCCTTGCGATGCTGAATAATAGTCTTATTAGCTCTCGCTCAGACAGGTTGCAGCGCCTCTCGTCCTTCAGTCAAGAAGACCACCCCACGTGATCTCTTGATGACTGGCTCCTCAAGTGACGACTTGTCAGATGGAAGTTCCACTGGTATTGTGAAATTATCCTTCCTCCGAACTACTTGTAGATTGCCGTCAGTGTGATAAATTTGCCATCCTCACTTTAAGTGGCAAATTGTGCTTGATCACTTAACACTCCAATAAAGGATAATTCTGTCGAGACTTTTACTATTCACCCACATAATCACTTCATCTGTCGAATACGCAGGTCAACAGGTCTCCCAAAACGCACGGCATCATTGTCTAGAAAGATTATTTCCAAACCACTTCCTCAGTAACCGTGCTATTTATTCCATGACAACTTTACAAAAGTAAAAGAAAACAAAGTGAATGTTGCACCAGCCAATTGAGTGTTGATGTAGTAATTAATTATTTTATAGCAGCGGCACTATCTTCTCAGTTACTAATAATTGGATTCAGAATAAGCGCGATTACTTCCTATCAGTGAGGACTGGTGTGATATCTGGCACTATCTTCTCAGTTACTAATAATTGGATTCAGAATAAGCGCGATTACTTCCTATCAGTGAGGACTGGCTGTGATATCTGTACTCAGAACGGTTCCTGCTGCCCATATAAGGACGGTGAATTTTACACTGCTTTTGACCATAGCAAGATACCCGCTGATTTCCAACGTGACAAAGTTATCAGGGACTCTTCTGTAAATTAATATTTGCTTTACATCATAGCATCCTTCTTGTGAAATGGGATCTCAAGACCTTTTCACTAGGGAAGCTGAAATATTCATTGTGCACTTGTGATTGATTATGGACCGCATCCGTTGAAGCCGTTGCTTGATAAACGGCTACCAGTATCCACCAAAGTTGCGTATTGATATCGCATGTTCTAAGAAGCAATGTGTTTTAAGCACGGACAGAAACAAAATTTTCCCATGTAAAATTGCTTCAGTTGATTTCACGTAGGTGGAGTTTGACCGCATGTAGATACGCCGTCCAGTGTTGTGGTGTAATAGGATTTTTTCATCCCCTGTCCACTTATTAAAGTCAGGAAAACGATGCACCTAAATGAGGTACTGTTTGCAAGTAGTTCTCAAATGTTTGTAAGGAGGGCGCGGATTCAGATGGATAGAAATGAGCATGTGTGGTGCCAATTCCTAACTCCACTACAGCAACTTCAAGGGTTAGGTTATTTAATGAATTCCTGATTTCATTTAGTTTTCCATCCAAAGTGGCTGTCATCAGCGTTGTCTGAATCAAATAAGCAGGTTGGACTTCGTTTTACGCCAGACCACAATTGTAGTATCCTACGAACTAACCAACCAGTTAAAGGTCAAGACAATGATCAGCACACCAAACATACTAGACATCGTTTTGGACTGACTTCCGTTTTTCTCCGCGGCGATAACTGAGTGATAATAACTCGTGATGGAATTGTCAAAGTCCGATGATGCACCATGATCCAGGAAGACTTTCTCAGTAAATTTGCGAGCAACCAATTTAAATGCGGTTAGAAAATAAATTTGATGAGATTTTGGCAGGTCACCCTATTTAAAGTGATTTTTTGATGTCCGTCATAGACAGAATATTTGGTCCAAGATACAACGCTCTCGGATACCCCTTGATTTTTGAGGGAAGCAGTAAATTTTCGATCCAGCATAAGTGAGAATATTACCTGTTGCGTTGCCTGTAATTTTCCACGCTGAACAAAATCTTTTGTGAAAGTTTCCAAAGGTGTTGCCTCATCTTGGACGCCCTATCCTTCAATGAGCTTTTTATCTTTCATTTTATTGGTGACCTGAGAGGTAGTGAATTTAACTGTCTTCTTTAACTTGATGCTATTGCTCGTGAAACCTGGAGTGGTATCGGCAAAGGTTGGCCTAGCTGTTGCTGGAGTTCTTCTGGCCGTCACTGCTCAATCTCATTATACCTCTTGGGACGATCTCCATTTGTATCACGCAATGAAATCGAAATGGCTTCGATCGCCTGGGGGTATTATTGGCGATTATGTGCCACGTGAACTTCATGTCTGATGTCACGTCATAAGACGGAATATTTCACTGCGAAGCTATCTGCATTTTTGATGAGATGAATGCAGTAAAACGCACTTGAACGCCACCTAGAATATTTATATAGTCGAGCCTCTGGAATGAAACTTGTATCCACCAATGCG